GGCAACTTGGCGAGACCTCATCTCTACAATAAATCAAAAATTAGCCAGGGGTGGTAGCACCGTAGTTGTGGCTACTTAGAAGGCGGAGGCAGAAAGATCACCAGAGCCCAGCAGGTCGAGGCTGCGGTGGCTGGGAGTGTGCCACTGTATTCCAGTCTGGGCGACAGAGTGAGACGCCAACTAAACAAAAGCCTAAAAGTAGTTATTGACTGTTTGACTTTGCTGAGCCAGAAACCCTGAAAACATTCTCTCTAGCTGCAGATCACTGGCAGTTGTGTTTGTTGTTAATTTACAGCCCATCCTCGTTGTTTGGAGATTCTGTGTTTGCAAATCTGGCTGCCTGCAGAAATCTAGATTCCCCACAGACACACTTGTGCACAAGGTGGGAAGACATTTGAGTTGCCCAATGTGCATGTTTCCAGCCAAGGCTGGACAAGGTGACACTCTGCCTTCTTGTTTCAGCTTGTGCTGTAGTGTCCTTTCCTTGGCCTGCTTAGTGCCCCAGTTTTCACAGTCTTTTTGCTTTGTTGGTGATTTTGCTGTTTAGAATGGCCCCAAGCTTTGTGCTGAGGTGTCAGCTCGTGTTCCTAAGCGCAAAGAGGCTGTGCTGTGTCTTAGGGAGAAAATGCATGCGTCAGAGATGCTTCCCTTCAGGCATGAGTCACAGTGTGTTTGGCCAAGTTCAGTGTCAAGGAATCAAAAGTACATACTTCCGGGCGCAGTGGCTCACACCTAGCATCTCAGCGCTTTGGGAGGCTGAGGCAGGAAGATCGCTTGAGGCCAGTAGTTCAAGACCAGCTTGGACAACATCGTGAGATCCTAGCTCTACAAAAAAAATTTTTTTTTTAAGAATTAGAAAAGAAACATAATAAATACGGTGTTTTTCAACAGAAGTACACATATGATTAAATTATGTCTTGATCTGTTGATGGGAAGGTTAGGACCAGAGGCTCCCAGGACCCTTGCCCCATGTGTCCCCTGGGAGCAGTGGTTCAGTGCTCGCTAATTCAGCCTTGGCCACCAATGTCTAGAAGACAAATACCGCAGGGATGAGAACCAACTGTGTTTCTTAACGTTCCCCTGGTCTCCTGTTAGAACTGCATGGTGATGGCGGAGCAGAGCCAGGTGTGGATCGGCTCGGAGGACTCCGTTATCTACATCATCAACATCCACAGTATGTCTTGCAACAAGCAGCTTACCGATCACCGCTCCAGTGTCACGGACTTGATTGTGCAGGACGGAGAGAAGGCGCCCAGGTATAAGTGGGCTCTGCTGGGAGCAGGAGTC